CTATCAATAAAAGGACGAGTATACTGCGCGGCAGTCCGTTCTGTCTTACTTTACGGCAGCGAAACATAGCCATTAAGAGTAGAAGACACTCGTAAGCTATTAGTATTTGACCACAGATGCCTTAGAAATATTGCTGGCATCTGCTGGGATCACCGGGTAAGTAATAGTGAGGTTAGACGCAGGGTATTAGGGAATTATGGTAAATCAGTTGATGAGGTTATGAATCTTCATCGACTGAGATGGTTGGGCCACGTGTTACGTATGCCTGAACACCGATTACCACGACGTGCAATGCTATCCGGTATTGGAAATGGTTGGAAGAAAGTTAGGGGCGGCCAAACCAAAACGTGGCATCAGTGCTTGAAGTCAATAACTTCTAGTCTGAGCCATGTTGGTAGATGCAGACTACTTGGTTGGGGTCCGCGTGACTGTCGTAACCAATGGTTGGAGACCCTTGGTGACATGGCTCAGAATCGATCACAATGGCGTCGGTGTATACACTCTCTGTCTTCCCTTGAACTAAGAGATTAAAATCGCTTCATATCTTTCTTTCTACTAACTAATTCTTTCTTCCTGTACTATATCCTTATTGCAATCTTTCTTTTATATATTACCACCTTTGACCTAACCACTACTATGAATCCGGTGTCCATCTTGTTATGCTAATGAGGTATGGCAACTTGGACCGATGCATATGTGCCTGGTCCTACGTTGTAGCTGACTGACTGACAACAAACCTTGCAATCGCTAGCCAGATTAGATCAGACGATCCTCGATATATTGGTAGCCTATCAAATATATCTTTGAACCTCCTCGCTTCTGTCTTTTGATTTCATTTGGTGGGTACGATTCATATTAGGCGCTACTGGTTAATGCGTTGTCAAACTCCCAATACCTGTGGTATCTTCAGGTTGTATAACACGAGGAAAAGGTTGAAGCATTCTAATCGTTTGATGTAAGAGAGAATGACAATCTCCGTCACTAGCTTGATACTTAATCTTTGGGTACTATCAAGGGTATCTTTATCTGCAATCACATCGCGGCTAGCAACCTGGATACAATATTGAAAATGAGACCTCCCGTAGATGAGTACATAGAAATCTCTCCCAACCAAAGCAATGCGGTATGGTACATTACAGTGTTCCACTGATTTAGGGTCATAGCTTTGAGTTACATCTAAATCTTTCAGCTCTATAATGTTTGGCAATGGTGAACTGTTATTTGTAAATTGATGGCCATCTTTAGGCCTAGTCTGTATCACTTTGCTTAAGAAGAGGCTCAGTACTAAGCAGCAAAGTTTGGACCATGTAACCATTACGTCTGAGTCAGTTTAAAGCTTTGATCTATCAGTTTCCTCGCTCAGTACACTATTCGATATAAACTCATCGGGAGAGAATGCTAAAATGATTATTTCAATATGTACGGACACATTCGCTCAATTAGTTTCAAACTATTTCGGTTCATTTAATTTTTAAAGTTACAATTTCTGACTGGATTATCCATTATTGATACCGATTAAAAACCTGACAACACACCCACTATTATGCTGTAATAAGCCTAAGGTTGTTCATTTAGTGATAAATTATAGGTACCACATATTGATTATATTTTGGGGACAAGATTGATATATTTTGCATGTCTGTTAATGATGGATATGAATACCTGTGGCATCTTCACTACAAATGAGTGCGCCGAGACTATAATTTATGGACGAAACAATCAGGTCATTTTAGTGTTGTTTAAAGATCATCCATAAATTATGGTCTCATCATATACACCTATCCATTTGATTATCACTGTCTATTTTACCTTCGTTCATAGACAATATTCCTTGACAATTTAACATACGACATAACTGTTCAGGATGGACTTCGCAAATGCATCAGTTTTACTACAAATCAATAGTCTTCTTACAACATTATATTAATTTTGCGTCTAATCACTTGTTAAACACATTCTGTAGATTTTATGCAACTTATTATTATTAGCATTTTACGACTAAGTATTGGAATTGTAACCACTGTGTTACCTTAACTACTCATAGTTCCGCACGGAATTCAGCATTCAGAAGACAAATCATTTTCTAGTACAATGTTTATATTAGACGTTTAGAAATTGTTAGGAAAGCAAATTACTTTCAACATGGTTAGTATTGTACTGACTGGTTGTTAATTTAATTATAAATGTCGAACTGGTTAAACCTTTGATAACATCCATTAAACTTTATGTTCACAGGTATTTGCGTTAGGCTGCTGTGGTTGTATGAGAAGTGACGATACTACCCATATAGTTAAATTGCATTTAATTTTGCATCATGAAACTTGCGAACTTATATGCTTCAAGAGATACAAGACACTTGCTTTATTCCACCGCTAGCCAAAATATAACTATGTTAACTGTCGTAACGAGACTCATGTGGCTTCAACAATAAAATAACGAGTGTTGTAGAGTAGTGGCCATGACAATAACAAATAGTTAGGAGCATGGGTTTTTTCTCAAGGGAGGGACATAGAGGTCGAGACTGCAGTTGATAAGACATCAATCCGACAGAGTAACTGTGTTTCCTTTTTTCTCAAATTACGGTAAATACTTACCCACTAATTATGTGGCCAAATGCAACTCATGAGACAAAAGTCCAGTTTATTAATCTCTGCCTAGAAGACAATTGAGTCACCTTTGAAGAGTTATATTGGGAATCTGTTATAAGACTAGAGGATGCTCTATTCACAGTTGTGAAAGGATGTTTTTCAAACTAGTGGTCTCCTCTCCAAGCTACAGAAGTCTGCCCAAAAGTATGGCCCTCCGTGCTCATGGTCTAGTCAGACTGACATTCTTACATGCCCATCACTGCATATATACAATAAATAGACCTGTAGTTCAGGATGTTTTGACTAAATTGATCGAGTTCGGAACGTGATAACTGCCCCGCATTGTTTTAATAATTTAAAACTGAAATTACTAATCCACGCGACAAACTCATAACAAGATTATGTAAAATACTCAACACTACAGGAGATATTTCGATTCGAAATATCCAACGGCAGGTTTTAACAATTAATGCAGTTTTAGGGCCCTTAATGATGTTTACACAAAAAGAGATGTAACCTAGTAACTCATTACTTAGCCTAATGGGATCCAGTGTTACTGTGTTATCCAAAAACTTACACTCATCTTGTTAGATCGACTCAATTATATGGATAATAAGTCCACTTATGCTATTTACATCCAAAGGTTTCATCTCTCAAAATTCATCATTAACTGTGCTGGCGAAATAGTGACATCGATAAAGTGCAACTCGATTATTACATTTTTGTAAAGCCACTAAAGCCCATGGTACGTAAATTGACGTTATTAAAGCTAACGGACCATGTCGACCGATATCACTAGCCAGGATTTGGGATACAAAACACGTCGATTTAAATGTTAGCAGAATGTATAAAAAACAAAACTATTTGGAAAAATATTTTTTAATAGAAAAGAAAAAACGAGTGTATTTATCTTTGTGTAAATTAGATCATTAGTATCGTAAATATAAAGACAGTAAAGTTAAAACAAAAGATTCAACTTTATAGGAAAAAGTTTCAAGTCGTAATAAATATTTACAGACAAGCATGCGGAGAATATAGGAAATACCATATAGAAAATAGATGTGTACAAAACTGAGGTTATGATAACAATGACGAGATAATCAATATGGGCACTTCCAAAAGTTGTATAATCATTACCAACGTTTATCCAGGCAATAATATGAATATACTCAGTACTCCAGCTTGTATACAAGTAATAATTTAACATATTTTAATCTCTAAGGGGGTGGATCATTTTCCAGATTGTCAAAAAGTTGAATCCAAGGGGTAGTTAGCAGCGTATAATCAGGATCTGGGAATGTAATAACACAAAGACGATTAATATCTTGCGAAAATACTGCAATTTACTTGTATAGCGGTTAAATACATGAAAATGGGAAAATAGTACCGTGAAATCACGGAACATCTTACTTTAAAAAATGCTTAGGGTTGAAACTGATGTAAAGACTATTCAGAGATTTAGCTTCTGTTTTCAAATTAACGAACGAATGGTTGAAGATAGAAAAGATGCTTATTAGACCCATATCCATTAGTCAACATATTGCAAGTACCTCAAACTGACAAGACCTGAGACCATTTCTAAATTCAAGATTGGAATACATCTGAAATTACAACTTAGCAACAGTTGTACGAAAAGACCCGTAGACAGATATTTTGCACAAATGGGAGTCTCATACACATAATCTATGAAATGCGAATAATAACGTAGGAAGTATATAAAGGAGAATCAACTCACGTCAATTAGACAAAATCTTAGTTTTACAATCCTCATTTGTTTGGAAGGAAGTTATCGCTGATGAATTGCTGGAAGAGGTCGAGGCAGTACTGTTATTTGCATCAGAATAAGACGGTACAGAAAAGAACCGACCACCAGAGCTTCGTATGCGGTTCATAGCATGCTTATGTCTGGACTCATGAAGATACTTCCGCCTTTCCTTCGGAATGCGGCCTTGTGCTTCTAATTTCGCTCGTGCTTGGCGACGCTTTAGAATCCTGTGGTACTGTTTAGCATTAACGTAAAGAGGTTCTTCACCACCAGGAGTTAGACCAGGTGATATTGTTGAGGATGCTTGTGTGGACATTCCCTGCTGACCGATAGCAGTTTCAGGTTGCGGACTAGAAACCTGGACAACTTGAGTGTTTGAAACGGCTTGAGATAATCCAGACTGGGTCTGATGAATAACCTGGACTTGCGAAGACTGCTGTAATTGTTGAAGTATGTGAGTCTCGTCTTCAACTGTTGTCCCTATAATCTGCCCTTGAGCCGATGTAAGATTAGCGTCCAAAGAAGTGGTTGCAGCAGACACTATAGGCTGAGTTGTGTAAATTGTTTGCTGAGCTGCACTTGGAAGGAACATGATAACCTGACCCCCACCAGCAGACGTAGCTAGTTGAACTGGGATTAGGCTACCATCACTGGCCTGGACGGCGAATGTAGTTGGTTGAGCAGCACCGTTTGCATCCATTATCAAAGGCTGTTGCAACGGCTGTAGAATAGTTTGGGCTGGAAGGACTTGACCAGCGTGTATATAACCGTCCCTGAAGTAACACAAATGCGAAAATTAAAGATGCGTAAACTTGGAGGCAAACGGCATAAATAACAAAGACAAACTTGTCTAGTATGAATATGGTTATAATAAAAAGTCAATACATCACCCATGCAAGAAAGTATACGTTACGAATTTGCTAAAGTGATCATGAATTATTTATATACCTTCCTGAGAATATCTTTTTATAATAGTCCATAGGGAAGGGTATGCTTAACACGATATTAGTGGCTATGCTTTGCAATTCCAATAACTTGATGTAAGGCAGTCATATAATTCTCACTGAACCCAAGTAGACAGTCAGGAATAATATCCGTATTATTACAGAACATGGTAACGGATCTACCAGAAATTACTCAATTTCATAGAATAAGCAGTAACATTGCCACTTACATTCCCGGTTCTTGCTTAGTGATTTTATGAACCTGCTGACTGATGTCGCTGGGTTGGGCTGCGTATTTACCGGTACTGATTCACGATTATGGAAAATCTAGCTGTAACAAGAATGATACATGTCAAGCTTTAACCGGGTCGGTGGATCAGTCAGTAACAACGTAGAACTTCGTAAGAACGTACCTCAGTTCGAGTTGCCATACCACATTAGCACAGAGATGCAGTTGTCGATTAAAATCCCATAGTGGTAGAGGTAGTAAGGGTATAAACAGTAATCGGAAACATTAGGGTATGAAGATGTTATTCAAGGAGTATAATCCAGTGAAATAAATTTGGAAAGAGGAAAAAAGGGACACAAAGAATTCAGAAGTTTAGAATCTAGGAGAACACAAAAAGTTGATGTAGCTGCGCCATTCCAAACGAATCTGAGCCATGTCACTCAAGGTCTCTAGCCATCGGTTGCTATCATCTCGCGGATCCCGACCAGGTAGTCCACACTTACCAATCACGTCCGAACTATAGATATACGCCTAAAACGTATCATAACTACGACGCTTTGGAATGACAATTGTTACCTAGAAAGCAGCAATTAGGAATGATTCTTTTCTTGGCCCCCAAATGCCCTGGTACGGCCGAGGGTGGGGAGAGTCCGCTCTCCCACTCGAAATGTTCTCACATGGCCACGCGTATAGAGCCACCGACCGCAAAATCTTACTCACTACCTTCTCGTGGTGGCTCTGTTGTTTACGAAAATGAAAGGATGAAAGCGAATATCCAGCGCTTGAATCGAGCTGGTGGGTATAGAGGTTGGACCTAGGGAAGTTGGAAAACCCTGATTCTAAACCATTGGTGCACATGGGCTCCAGTATTCTGAAGGAACAAATGGCGTATGAACCAATTATTGGTCACCGGCTACCATGGGACTGCATCTCCCCACGTTGCTCCATGGCTTTGTGGATTAGATCTTTGGGTCAAAGGCTCTGGGTGCGGTCCACTTAAGAAAATCATCTTCTTTGGTCTGGGCACCCGGGTAGTATCACAGCCCACGCATACCAAGTGACTTGTGTGGCGCATATCCAACTGGTGCCTCCTTGTACCAATGCTTACGTGTTTAAATAAATTAATAAGCGTCCAATCACTACTATATTGATCGGTGTATGAGTAGGGTGAAAGTTAGGGATGACAAAATGGAAAAGTAACACCAGCCCACATAGTCATCGACTAGTGAACTGAGTTATGTTAAGTACATACAATTTAGCTAGGGTGTGTGCGATAATTGTGATCAGTTGTTGGAGCTGATGGGTAGCCTTAAAAATAGTCACACCAGGGCAGATGGATTTATTTTCTTCCCTTGGATACTGAGCTACAAAACTAGTCAGTGCTCCTCCTTACAAGAAATAATTCAAACATAACTTCATATTTCATCTTGCTGTGTTGGTGTGTGGCAACTTGGACTGATGCATATTTGCCAAGTTATTGACTGCTAACGAACCATAACAATGAAGCCTAAATCATAAAACAATTATGTCTTAGTCAGACTATGGAGATTTGTAGCTCAGGTGGATGATTTTGGTGGAGTTTTGTTCTCTGAGCTGGATGGTTTGGTTGTGGAGCTTTCATCTTTAGCCGGGTTCGTACGCTGAATAGCATGGCTCACAACAATGATCATTGGTTACACAGATGTAATGCGTGCACTTGTAATTTCACTGAAAAGATTAACAAACAGCCCAACCTAATAACTACTACACGCCCAATTTTAGTGCTTATTGGATGGTTTTGTAGTATGTAGGCACTGTTCTGCAGATGTGACAGGATATATGCTTATTACCTTTATTCAAATCTTCGTATTCCCAAAGCATTACGGAGCATATAGCGGTGCAATATATTCGACGTATAAATAAATGTACGTACTACTACGAGATTGTTACATACGTATACTTATCATGCTTATGTTTGTCTATTGACGTGAAAATAAGGCAGCGGATTTCGGGACAACAATAAATAGCTCATATCATTATTCACAACAAAGCTTCGTTGGGACTACAGAACTTTATGACCATTAACAAATACGATGAAAACTGACACTAAAAGTGCTGTGAAACTGAACTATCCATACGTCAATATGAGACCCAAAAACATTGGGTCGGTATCTGAAAATTAAGACTAGTAGCACCCTTAGAACTAGTCTCGAAATCGAATTCAGTAAAGATGAAAACCGATGTGACTAGGCTACCAGCATAAATCAGAGTAAAACCAAGTGAAACCAGGCGGTAAATGGTGAAATGATAGAACAGGAACTTATTTATTTTTTAGCAATAATAACGTGTAAGTGAATTTGGAATAAAGAAACCATAATTGGGGTATATTATGTAGGGCCACGAATCGTGAAACACAACTAGCTGCTGAAACCCAAGAAAATAATCTAATCCCTTGAACGAATTATACCAGAAGTTATTTACTTTACAAAATAGCGACCCTATTAACTAGTGTAAGTGAACTATACCCGAGATTGTCATAAACACATAACAATGCTAAGGTTAATAAAAAAATACACACAAACCAAGTAGAAGTTGTCTACAAACAATGTTTAACTCACATTATTACAGAAGACGTCTAATTTTACGATATACCCCAAGTATGTAAACTCCGGAACCAACTCTTTTGGGCGGGTTGCGAAAAATGAATTCCACCTCATTCTAACAAGCGTCAACACAAAAATTGCTGGAAGCGCTTAAAGTAAGTGAAAAACCTCGAAAATGAACGAATTATATACGAATACTGAATGATTGGTAGGTCAAAAGAATGTTAGCTTGATTAGATTTACCATTGGTGCATCTACTTCTACTTGATTCTCGCTTATTGGGTCATACTCACATGCACGTATCAGTGATAGGTCGAGATTAAGGTGATAATCACTTGCTGGGATTTTCAGTGGCTTAAATTATTCAGCAATCAAGAATGGTAAAGTAAGGAATTGGATAGTTTTTATTGCATACAAAACAGCAAATAGACATTGAGGTTGCCACTAATTTTTAGGCCAATGGATTCTTAGATTCACTGTCCTTAAAATATGTTCTGACGGCCAATCAAGGTTGCGAGCTTCATATTTAACTTATGAACGAATAGCAAAACTGACGTCCTATCATCTTTGAAAACCAGTATAATTTCTATCAAACACACAGGAGTACATTATATTTGAGTGGTTAACAATAGAAATACTTGTCATGAATTTAATGTGAAACAGTGTTTATAATACGCTATGATAGGATCATTTCACCAATTTGCTAGTGGTTAAGTTTTAAACTTTATACCAATAACAGTTAAGTGTCCAGTATTTGTCTCATTACTCACAACACCAATTTACTTCGAGAACATTTCCATAAATCCGTCATATATAATTAATATGATCATTAAAACTTGATGTATATAATAATTTATATGATTGTTTTGTCGCTTAATGTAAAAGATGTCTATATCGGTTAGTAGGTAATTTCTGAAAGCCGAGTGAAAGTGGTTTTGATATGATAGGGCTTTGTGAAGGCCATCTCACTTAATCCACTGATCGATCCATAATTATCTCTTCGTCCAGTAATAAAGTAACTACCTGTTTACAGCTGAAGTCTATCACACACAAAACTACAAGTGTAATAGTGAATTACAAATTAAATGACATCAATAACTGATATCAAGCCGTGATAGGACAATCTATCGCAACTTTCTAATAAAAGCTATAAGGAAAGCTATAGAAGCTTTCACATACTTTAATAAGGAATAAGGATCATTCCCCTTTAAATGTAATGGATTCATGTCCCCTGATTCGTAAAACCGGGTCAATAAGATGCCATTTGATGGAGACCATCCAACCATTCATCATCTCTGACGAATCTTGACAACAGAGGTACCTCGAGCAAAGAAATCGTGGACAAGCCCCTTACAATTGCAAGTCTCAGAGAAGTCGAAGGTTTTTAGACCTTGAAATCCTTGAAACTTCAGGCTCAGACTAAACTACTCCCAGAGTATTAAATTAGTGTGTACATGTAATCTGTTCTTCCATCTTTGATTGCTTTTATATTCAAACCAAGTATTTCTGTACAGAGTCGCAATATGAAGCACAAATGAAACATATCTGTCGATGAAAACTATCAAGTTGTCAAATTATCATTACACATTAGCCTGGAATTTCCCTACCACATTCTAATCATCGAAAGTAGATTGATATATTTCGTACACGTGAGACAACTGAATACTAGTAATCGATCATTGATGTGTTGTAAAGAAAGGGTAATTAGGCTTCTTTAGAATATTGAAATGAGTGAACTACAAAACACTGCAGGTGCTAACTTAAGTAGCTATAGAGTGGAGTTTCGAGAACATTATAAAACGTCTGGATATACTTCGTGACGCGTAAATATTTTTACAAGTTTCCAATATATCAAAAGGAAAAAAGGACGTGGAGAAATATATACTGCCCCGAGGATATTGCTACTCTCTAACGCTAGTCAAGCAAACTTATATCCCCTTATGACTTAGTTATATCCAGAATGCTAATGCTAAATGGTGAAGATACATCTACGTCGTAATGTTGGAGGGATACAGGTATATCTCTCACCATAGATAAGAACTTAAATATTAATCTACGATACACCAAGTTTCTCTTCTCTTAGGAATTTCTGTATATATTGAAGCATATGCTGTGTTAGGGTTTTGCCAGAATGTTAGGTGCCACGACGTTTGGACTGTTTAAAATCGTCATCAGTACACATACTTTGGTGCAGCTAGAAAGATAATATTGTTGGAATACTTTATCTGAATTTACGTAAAACGTCTGAACGAAGGACAAAGAGGAAGACTGTTGTACACATCGTATGTAGTTCAAATATATTCAGTAAGATTACTATTTATACAGTTCAGAAGATAAAGGGGTTAATAATAGCATGGTGTCTCAATCCTCCTTCATCCTAACTAGTCACAAATGCACTTATACACATTACATAAAGGTAGAACATTAAAGAACTTCCGCAGGTAAGTTTTGGGCGTCGTCTTGGAGATCTTGATGATATAATTATAATCGGCGGAACCACTTAGTGATATTCAACTCTCCATGTTAAAGAATCATTTCTTAAAACTCAGATGCAAAGCTAGAAGACAATACTTTAGTAACTGGAGCGATTATGTAGGTGTTCGGCTTACTTTATGATTTGCGCATTAAAAAACCGGAGCTCTTCCTTTCAATCTATAGTCGACCGTAATATGGCTGAACGGGAGTGTTGTTGAATTTAGGTCAAGGCCGGTAGTAATTAACTTGTCTATCTTACCAGAATAACACACCTAATCCAATTTTGTGCGCTTGTTATAGTCTGACTATCTGACCCTTAATATCGTGCGTCAGGTCGCATCGTTGTTTGTACTGACTTTCCCTATCGTGATAGTCAGTAATCTTCTGTTGAAGAAAACATTCAGGGTAGCAAGAAAATCCTATACTTAGTATAAAGAGCAGAAGGATAAATAATATGACAATGTCTGCATGGTCAAGTCATCGCGTCTCGATTTCGCAGTTGTGTGAAGTTCTTATGTCATTACTTATAAACCCTTGTAAGTGACAAACTTGTGTAGGTAAATCCTATTCATTGTGTAGTGATGTGATACGCCGCAGTTGCTGATTTGAATGATTGCAACTTCGACGAAATTTACTTCCAAGATGTGCCAACTTGTTCACTCAAGTAGATCGTTTACAGCTGATTATTTCGAAAACGCTTCAATATGTACTTCAGTCCGGTTCTCAGAAGTGCCACTGTATGGCCTTTGCCTCGATCAACTTTGTTTATAGATATTTCAGTCCTTGAGAATTCTTAGACATGAAATATATACTTTAAAAATTTAAATACAAGGAATATCCAACAGAATTCGAACATAGTGTCTTGGAAACAGAATTATCACTATGTCTGCTCAACAAAGTTGTAAGTTTGAATTCGTATTCCCCCACTTTTTAGGGTTATTGGTAATTATTTGTTGTTGTTTCTGATATATTCGTCTTGTTTTGGCCATAAAACAACGAATAATTGACACTCTTTGAAGTGAATACAAGGTTTTTCCATGCTCAATATACATGAGTTGCTCCTTCTGTTCCTTAGCCCCCATCGCAATGTGACCAACGAAATAAATCGTTCCTTCTTACCATTATAGCTTTGTTTATTATTCGGCTTACGGCATCTTATATTCAGGAGAGCTGGACACTAGCATTAACTGATTTCATCTTATCCACGGCATTGGCCTGTTTTAGAGAAGCGACAATAACTTGATTACTGGGCTTTTATGTACGTATAATGCAGAGGTAATGTCCAACATGTGTATTCCAGAGCAAAGTGTGTTTATGTTATGTACCTAAGTACGGCATTTTCAAGCTAGCCTTAATAAAATGGATTCTAGATCCCATACTAGCTCTTCTAGTTGTGTCGAAATGTCTAAATCTTATGCTATCGTTGACCGTTATCGATTTCTACGGCTGTTAAATTTAGTTTTTTTCAATGTACTTGCCGAGTCGTTGGCAAAATCCATCTCCCGCTTTTCTCCCTTTCATGTCTCTCAGACTATGTTCTGCATTATGTCCTAGCACGCGAAGTATTTTTTGGTTGGACAAAATCAGTCACATTTATGGCGAAATGACGTTAAATAGTGTATATGTTGCACAATCTACCTAATTTTGAATGGTTTTCTGTGGTTAGGAACCTCGACTGGTCCGGAGTTTCTCAATATTATATGGGTAGTATCTGGAGAAAAATGTCTCCACAGTCTATGAAGGAAAACAAGAGTGATTTTATGCTCTCTCGTTGTTTCAAAGCCCCAAGAAAAAAGCCTTCTTATGAGTGAGTCTCATCTCAAAATCCATTTACACTTTCGGAACTAGCTTCAAAATTTTTGTACATTAGATATATAGGAACTAAATGTCCTAGATATCCAGTGCAGCTTCTGAATTACTAATGAGGATAACTGGAGTGGCCCTTTTTGACAGACTCTAAAGATTTAGTGTTTAATAAATATTGAAGTGACTCAAGAACTCTCCGTAAATTAAGGTAAAACAGTGTGGAACTATGTCCAATACTCTTGTATTTGAAAGCATTCTTCATCTTGAAAACAAAAGAATTTTAATCATGAGTTCAATGCAAACGTTTGAAGCTTCTAATATAGAAACCCGACACAATCTCTGCTTTGTTATTAAGTATTCTAAATTGATGTATTGTTGGTGAATAGTTTTTTGCGAAACGTGTTAACAGTGAAGTCACTGTTCAGTACACAGGTTCTCGATATATGGTTACCCCAACCAAAAATCAGGATAGCCAGAGATTTCCTGGGGATTCTACTTTCTTTTCATAAAGGGGATATTTTCTTGGTTACTCCTGTTTTGAAGAGTAATCATGAATCTGTTGTTCATACGGCCTTTTCAAGGCAATGATGAACTTCACTATTTCTCACGCTACAGAATGTCCTAGTTAGGTCTCTCAGGGTTCAGTACTAGGACCTAGTCTTTTCTTACTTTACATGAATGACCTTCGTCATGAAGTATCGTCTGATCTATTATTATTCGCTGACTATGTGAAACTGGTGAGAAGTTTGCAACCACGATGACAAGTTAGCACTTCAGGAGGACCTGACTCCAATTCAAAGTTGGGTGGATGAAAAGTGACTAAACTTGAACACTTCAAAGTGTAAAGTAGCCCATATGAGATTTATTGCCGACTATGCATACAACTGAAGTCACTACTCTCTATTAGTGAACCAAGCTAAAAAAAGATCTAGGAGCCCTGATAATTTATGATCTAAATTCTTACA